AAAGTAGAAGACTGTGGAGAGCTGTGACAGAACGCCCATCAAGCATGACAGAGCATTATCAAGTTCCATATTTAAGATGGTGCTAACATATTTATAAGACTAACATCTTTAAAAGTCTTGTTGCCAATATGCACCATGCTCTTTGTTTTGACCATCTCAATTGTCCTTTGCAAGCACTGAACTTTATATTATTCCCCATAAGTTGGGTAGCAATCATCCCCATTTTGCAGATAAGAAAATGGAGATAAGAGAGAGGGAAAATAGTGCAGGGTGAGAAATGATAATTTTCTGCATCAGAAATGGTATCTAAGGGCTTTACATGACAAAGGGCACTATGAGGTTCAAACATTCTATCTAGCTCATATTTTGAGACTGCTCTAAGCAAGTAAGGCCTACAAAACTGATCAATTCATACAATAAATGCTTTGTTCTATCACAGAGAATTAGATATCCACATACATCTAAAAACCTAACTGTAAATTCAATTAGTATATTTTTTCCTAGCATTTCATCTATTAAATAAAATTTAATCTGCACCATTATAGTTGTACATGACAGTTTCAATGACAAAAGAATGTTGGTTGCTCACCTGTGACTGGTACTTAAGAAGAAGAATTGCTTCATCTTTTGCCCGGCTCAGCTCTGTAGGAACTAAGTGGCTACACGGAAAAGCAGCCAGGATCTTCTTGTGTTCCTTAGTAGTGATATTGATGAAAGCTTTGTAATGATTAACTGAGACAAACTCACTCATTGCACAAACATAATAGGACCCATTCAGCAGGGTGACTGCTAGCCATGTTACTGGAGCAACTAGCGCTCTCCCCGTGACATTACAGAGGACAAGACAGATAAGCTTGCATTGCAATAAGCTGTTACGTGCACTCAGTTCTCGAAAGGAAGAGCGTTTGCCTGTAACTAGCCGCCAAGTCTGATTATTCAGCGCATATCCAACAATCAGAAGAATCAGTGCAGGGGCTCCTAGGAAAGCTAAACCATAAATGAGATTCTGCCCAACATGACAGGGGCAGCTAAATGTAAAAAAGGAGAAGAGTTGCTGCCCACCAATTGTCAAGATGGCAATGACTGCATTTGCAACAATCACTTCTTTCCCTTTCAGAAAGGTTAATACATAGGTAAGATAACTCATTTTAGTTCTCATTCATTACCAACTCTTTTTAGCTTCTGTCTTAATACAATATTAGTACTTAGCTAGATCTAATTAGCATCACTTTCTGCAATGTAGAAGACCCCAGCAAACAATAAAAAAAATTCAAAACAAAATACCCTCTACTTTATCTAAACTATTCCTCTCTCTCTAAAGCAAATTCTGATTTTACTCTACAAAAGCAAGCCAACTGCTTAGTATCTTATTGTATCTGTGCACAGATACCCAATCATGTGTTTTAACTAACTCATTAAATTAACTCACTTGTCCTGGAACAAATATTTAGCTTTTAAACAATTACTAAGTCAGGAGATTTGTCTGTCCCTTGTTAATTAACAGAATTTGCTAATAGATTCTGTCTGCCTTTTGCAGGACATAAAATGCTGTCAAAATATTGACTTCCCTATTACAATTAATTGATCATCTATGTTTTCCAATTAATGGGAGAAAAGGAACCACTGGTTATCACAGGGCAACAGCTGATGCCTAATGAAGAGCTTAGATTGTAACGAAATAAAATTAAATAGTGAGGCCTGCTCACTACCAGACCTCTTTTAAATTATAGAAAGGGTTGGTGAGGTGAATTACCAATATTATTTGAAAATACCTTAAAATAACATTTTCATTCAGCTAAAAGAAATGAAACAACAGTAACAAAAACTTTGGAACTCTAAAATGAAAGTTGTATTTAACATCAGTTCTGGTGCTGAAATAAAATATGAAGGAAATTCTGGTGATGGAGATACAAGTATTCTTATGCTGTATAGCTGGGATGTTATTTTAGTTAGCATGCTACTTGAGTTGTAACTAAGGTACAGAAAGTGAAAGAAGGAGGGTGCCCAGAATTTTTTACCTAGGTTTTATATAGCTAGGAATGGGCACATTTGGTTCTCAGGATGTGTCAAGTGCTGCCTTTGTCTTCTTTTTGAGAGACATTTTAAAGAGCTTTATTTTTTGTTGTATGTCTGATTCGTTTTCATGACAAGCCTGGTTCATTCTAATGATAATAATTAACATGTGTTCCAAACTTTTAATCTATTGATTTTCAACCAGTCCCACTTTATAGATGGAAAATAAGGGTCAGGGCATTTGGAGTTAACCTTTCCAAAAGTTAGGAAAGGTTCTGACTTTTGTATACCTAATTTCAACTATCCACAACCATCTTTCAAGAGGAACTGAGAACTCTCTCAGTTCCCGTTGACTCTAGGAGATGTTAGTGCTCAGCACTTCTGTCAATTAGAGCTAATGAGAGGCTGCTTTTCAAAATTTCAGTCCAAGAGACTTTATCAAGGCACACTGAGTGGTATAGATTCTGATAAAACCAGGTATTCCTGCCTCCCACTCCAGTACCCTGTCCACTATGTTGCAGGCCTCACTTAGGGAGATTTTTGCTACTGATCTTGCAAATACTTGCTCACATGTTTCATTTTAGACATATGACCAGCCCTGCTGACCAACATGTGTGAGTCTTTTCAGGCTTGGGGCTTTAGATTGCATACTTGGAAGATGAGTGCAAGAGATAACCTGCAGCTGAAAGAGGCAGCCATAATTGTAATGCCTAAATGTAGTGTAGATGTTCCAATCAAGATAGTGACCTTCATCTGCCCCTTAAAGTAGCTGCCCTACAAATGTACAAGGATATGGGTCCTACCTTGAAATGCTTATCATTCTAAGCCTCATTTCTCCAATGCATTGAGCATAGGTGGACCCCTGAATATCTTATTCTAGGATCAGAGCCTAAGAATGTGTCCTCTTCTAGCCACTTGGATCCAAAAACAACAGCAATGCAACAGCATTGATGAAAGTTACTGGTGGGGCAAAAAGACTGAAATATTTCAGAGCACTTTCCTGCTGCTAGTCCCTGTTGTAAATACTAAGCCTGTCATATACTCAGAACAGCACTAGCCAATACACAAATACAGCTTTAAAGCCATTTACAAAACATGCTACTAGTGTTTTTTGAAGTATTATTTTCACCCAATGCCATAATATTTTTTCCTTTTTCTAAAGTAAAACACAATTGATCTACTAATTGCATTACATTTCTACAGGGCTGTTCTACCCTTCTGACTAAAAGAAGATTAAATCTCTCTGGCTTCAGTATTGTTTTTCCAAGAGCTCTATTGAGCTCTTGAAAATTACTGTTTTCCATTAAGCTGTCCACTTTAAAACCTTTGGTTGAGTCCAGCTCATTTCTTGTTGTACATGTGCTTTTTTCTTTGTTTGTCTTCTGTCTTAGGCAAGGCAGACTTACCCAAGCCTTTGTTCTTTTACTCAAAAATTCATTAGATGTGAAAGTGAAGAGGCATGCGTCACTGACTTATTGATAGAAAGCCTAGGACTGTTGAACGATGCAATTTGTACAATCAATAAAATGACTTTGCACTACAAGTTTTTACGTTGGTTTTTGAAATGTCTTCTCATGCTTTTCTGTAAATAATGCTGCTGGATTATCTTATTCTGGAGTGATTTACACAGCCAGATCCAATAAAGGGCTTAGATACCACAGAACCAGGCTTCTGGAGTGGAATCCAGAACCCAGTATGTTCCCTACCTTG